TCTTTATATTTATATCGTTTATATTTTTAGATAGATTATTGTTTTATGTTATTTATAAGTTAATATTTTAGTTAATCATTTTCCAACTCTATCATGATTAGAATGTGTAGGACTTATTTTTCTTTTATGTGTTATCAACACCAATTCTAGATTCCGAACAGTCTTCCTCGAGAGATCGACCCGGGAAACGAATCATTTGATTCGGTGCTCGGTAAAATAAAAATAATTTGTACACAACACTCGGTATCATCTTTTTCGGGCATGGGAGCCATTGAAGCACGAAGGGATCGATTGCACTCCTCTAAGTGCTCCATAATCTCGGCTATATTGACTCGGGAAGATTCTTGAGTCGGCTCGGGTGGAGATGTCGCATCATAAGAATCGGGAGGCGGTGGATAATAGTGAGGCGTCTCGTCGTGACCCGGAGAGTAATAACCTAAATCGGAATAAGATGTCGGTAAAAAGTAGCTCGGGTTCGGATAAGGCGGCCCTCCATACGAATACATCTCCTCATTATAATTGTCGGGGCATCCACGAGACGAGCTACCGGCATAAGCATAGCCATACGGATCCATCGGTGCTCTTCAAGCGAAATACCTCACACAAGAACAACAAAACAACCAAGGCACACGAGGCAAAGGAAAGAAAACACAAAAAGCAACTAACAAGACATGATATGGACACGAACACACAAAGCAAAAAGCAAGAGAAACCGAAAAACAAAGCAATAATCAAGAGAAACACGCAAAACAAGCAAAGAGCACAAAAAGGAAGAGAAACACGGAAACAAACGACAACTAGATAGCAAACTTGGCGTCCTACTCACCTTCCCCGGCAACGGCGCCATTTTGTTGAGTATATTTTTGGCCATGTGGTAACCGAGGTACCCCACTCGGGTCGTTCTCAAAGGAAGGCTCTTCGGAGCTTCGTTCACTATCTAGTCGTCAAAGTCACACAACCAAAAAGGTCCTAAACATGCTAATCGCTTGAATTGAGGGGTTGATTTAAGCTAGATTA